AGTGACCATATGCTAAGAACTAAAAACTGCTCCATCACTTTCTAATCATGAGATGATGGTCTCCTACTTATGCTGGAGCTCTAATTCCTCACTTGAAAAGATTGCCTCCACTTGCAATATTTTATGTCAACTAGAAATGTTAAACTAACAATATGTGTGAAAAGTTCTGAAGTGACAGAATATGTAAGTGGTAATAAATGAACCATTTTGGGAGACTATTCTAATTTTTTTCCAATCTCTTTTGTGTTCTTCTCTACTTCCTCCTTATTCCCCCACCACATTTATTACCCAAATCACTATTACTACTAAGTGCTACTCCTTTCTGAGGTAGATACACTTTCTGCGGCTTACTACTACTTTTTGAGGCTTATCCAATGAATAGTATCACTCCTTAGCCATTCGATCTCTTTTATAGGGACTGATGAGGCTAAATTCACACTTTCCTTTATTCCTATTGTAGACATTTGAGACAGTTTATATAAGAAGATATAAGGCCAGTTCTTACAGAATTCTGAGAAGACTTTCATTTTTTCCTAATAAAAGGATACATTACAGAGTCATGACCGTTTCTTGTGACCATCATAAAAGGGAGAGTGTTGGCACTGGTTATACTCAACCCACGAACAGCCCCCTTCCATACTTCCTGTGACACAAGGCAAATGAACAGCAACAAATATTAAAGACTCTGAAAATCAGCTTTTTGTTACCCATAGCTTAACTCGGTTCTGAAAAGATTTTTTTACTATGCATTGAGTACCTTTTGTATGCTGGTACTTAACACATATAACAACTTTTAGCCCTCTAAATAGCAATTATTATATACTATTTTATACTTAAGGAAACAAACTAAAGGACTTTGTTCAAATTCATGGAACTCTGGATTTAAATCCAGTTGTGGCTCCAAATAGTAGGCTGTATTTCCATCTGCTATCTCTTGGTGTACACTTCCCCAAGAGTGTATATCAAGTTTTGGGAATGCAGTCACTATAACCTTACAGGTATTATTGCATTCTTGACTCCGAAATATGTAATCAGTATCCTCATTAAAATGGAGGTCCCTTGCTGTCGGACATTTGACGAGGAAGAGGCATGCACAGACCTCATGAAGAGAAACAAACAAGGCCCAGTTTGGGTTTATAGCAATCTGCTTCTCTGTCCATTAGACAGAAAGCAGCAGAGGAGGATCACACCTGGCATGAGAGCTGCTTCTCCCAGAAAGTTCTATATGTGGAGCTTTAAATCACCCATTTGACTTCTTTCTAGATCTCAAAATATGGGCTCATTGGCACAGTGCAAAGTTCAAGCTGGAGAAGCAAAGTAATGGCAGTGATTTAGAATAAAATGTGATGATATCAGGAACACTCAAGTTCATTTGTTCCCCATTATTGAAGCTCTAGTGTGACAGAAAGTGTGATACTCACTCACCTATATAAAATTAGAAATTTGAACAGGAGGTAAAAAATCTGTGTATAACTAGTGATTTTCCACAATGTAAGATGTACTAGATTAGTACATCTTACATCAGATAGTACATCAGAACATCTTCATTTGGTATCAGAAAAAATATTTCATTTAAGATCTGTTAGCAATGACAAAGTTTGTACTTCTCTCTGGGGATTATGGCTTAAAAAATGAGCAGGGGTTGGATGCATGTAACGGAAGGAAATGATGACTGTCTCTACCTTTTTCTTTTCCACATCAACAGCAGTTTCCAGTCTCCCTCACCATGTTGATGGCAAAAACCAAAACAAAACAAAAACAACAACACACCTTTACATATTTAAAAGTGTAGTCTGAGTCAGTATTAATCATACAGACAGGCTGTTTTATTCAAGATTACATACAGAACACTCAGCAGTTGCCAAAGATCCCTTCTTCCCCTTTTTGAAATTCTAATACCCAAATACAGTGACGTAAATGTCTAAAACATCAAAAACTACATGGTTTTGAAGGGAAATCAACTTAAACCGTTGCCACAAACTCTTCAGATTTTTTTCTATCAGTATTACCAGTCAAATTTGTTGTTTTAGTTTGTCTGTTTACCAAAGTAGAAATGAAATTGTTGAACACATGAATCAAATATTGCTAAAGGAACATTATAATTATAACAGCACATAGTCAAATTCTTGGGCAGGGACTGAAGACCACAGTATGTAAGGGGTATTTATAATTAAGAGCACTGTAGACTTAATCTTACAAAAGTCAGTTGGATCACTGGAGAACACTATGCATACCTGAAGACAAGCCAACAAATACCTACCACATTAGCTTTTTCCCACACTCATCCATTCATTCAATACACCACCAAATCATCATCGAGCACTTTCCATGTGTGACACACATTCTTCTAAGTGTGGCTGACACTGAAGACACAGTGCTGAACAGAGGAGACAATGCCCCAAGCCCTAGGAGCTTGCTCTGCTTACACTGTAACACAGGATGTGCTGCATATTGTGGCCTGGAGTTTGGTAATGTAAAGAGAGAGATGACCTGGAAAACATGGACTGCATAAGCAATGCGTCTACAGATTTTTGCTTCTCTTTCTGATGATCTTTTTACTGTTAACCTTTTCCTAATTTCATACCTGACACAATAACTTGCACTTGTGGAAGAAACTAGTAAAAATATTTAAGAAATCCTTACTGTGTGACAGACATTACATGTATTAGTTTGTTCACTCTTTACAACTACTCTAGCAAGTATGAATCTCATAGTCTCCATTTAGTAGAAGTGAGAACTGAGCCTCAGGAAAATGACACAAAGTTGCCTCGGGTCACACATTTGGTAATCGGTGCTGCCAGTATTCAGCCTCAGAGCTGTCTAGCACGATACACTGCTACCCCGAGTAAAACATCTACCGTATGCTGAACCTTTTCAGGTAGTCTTTCATTCCCCATAGTGCTATGGAGTAGACGACATGATCCCAATTTGTCAGATAAAAAAATAAAGTGCAGAGATAAGAAATGGTAGTGTCAGTGTTCAAACAAAGAACTACCGGGTTTCACAGTCAGTGGTGCTTCTCTAAGAAGCGTTTTCTGGGAACCTCTCGTGCTTCTCTAAGAAGCGTTTTCTGGGAACCTTTTGGGGTACTGAGGTATAGACTCATAATGCCTTCCTTATCAACTTGTATGGTTTTTTTTGTGTGTGTGCTGGGAATCGAACTCAGGACCTTGCACTTGCCAGGCAGGTGCTTGTGCCACTGAGCTATATCCCGGGCCCAACTTGTATGCTTTAAATATAAGGCTTTCCTGGGAGATTTTACTGAAGAAAAGGTTTGGAAAAAGGCTAATAAAAGTTTGCAAAATAAAATTGCTTAGGTAAAATTAAAAGCTGATTTGCGGAAGTTTCAGAAAAAAAATGTTTTATAGGGGAGTCAGTAGAGTAGATGCAAAATATGCCAATATGTTAGATATTTAGAAGGCACATATTTTACAAACCATGGTATTTACTAAAGAAGAGAATTTATCGAATGAGGGAAAGATAAAATCTACAATTTGTTGACTATGTCACACGATATACATGGAAAGAGATGAGAAGTCTAAAAGATTTAGTTAGGAATTAAATGATGTAAGTGTACAAGTTAACACAAAGAATTGGGACTTATGGATGAACTTCTTCAAGTATATGGTGAATCTTTTTCAAGCCTCAGTGGGTAAAAAGTAGGATGCAGATAGAAAAGTAGGATTTTCATGCAGGCTAAGTAATGATATAGTTGAATAGTTCAAATAATATTATAAGATATTTATTGCCCATCTGAGAGATAGTTATCTTTCATTTATCTCACTTTTAGAAAGACCGTACTGCTGGGCATGGGTGTGCACGCCTGTAATCCCAGCACTTGGGAGGCTGAGGTAGGAGGACCATTGTGAGTTCGAGGCCAGCCTGGGCCACATAAGTGAGTTCAAAGCCAGACTGAACTGCATGGCGAGACCCTGTCTCAAAAAGCCAAAAAAAAAAAAAAAAAAAAAAAAAAAAAAAAAAAAAAAAAAAAAAAAAGAGAGAAATACTGTCCAATCTCAGTAAATTTTACTTGGTGGTATCTTGACCAGCTCTTTTAATATGCATTTCTTAAATAGAGAAATATTTATTCCCATTCCATTATGTACAGAATAAGATTCCTCAATTCCCAAATACCAACCATCTATGTTGCCTTTTTAATGCCTCAGAATTTGTTCTCAAACCTTTGCTGTCAGGATCTCAGTGAATTTCAAATGTTGGGTCAATTATAACATAAGAAAGACTTCATATGGGGAAGAAATCATTCAATTCCTGTTGGCTACAGATTATTTTTAAGATAGAAGTTATGTAATAGATGCTATTCATGATATCAAAGCTGACATGAGATCACCACAAGTTATTATAAGTTAGCTATAGGCAACAGGGAATTTGGAACCTGGTAAGATGTTTAGGACAACTATACACAAAGCCACATTGTTATTTTGACCTTTTTAGCTAATCAGCATCTGCCTAAAATTTCTAATTGGGCATTAAGAATGAAACTATGTTCTCACGTCTCTGTGGGATAGGATAATAAGAGTTCCTCTGGGCTTCAGGAAGGTTCAGGCATATACAAGTGTAGTTAGGTGCGTAAAGGTCCTGGCACTTTTCTCTAAGAACAGTATTTGTTTCTTAATAATCTTCTTTATACGGTTCCTGCTACTAAAATTTAGCCCACAACTTACATTCATCCCCTCAGGTACTGGAAACCTTTGAAACGGCCCAGTGACTTTATTTTCCCTGTTCTGACCTCTCTCCCCTTTTGCTGTAACTCTTTGCTTTATCAGCACTCTCAACTTCCATGCCTTGTACCTTTGGCCGGAGTAATTGGATTCACTCCAATTAAGCGCGCAAAAACCATTCAAGGACAAGGTACCAAGCACTGAGTTCCCTGCCTCTTAGGATTCATTCACTGAGATCTCTTCCAGCAGAAAGACCACGGAAGCAAACTGCACTGCTTCAGCTGCATCAGCCATACCCCATGAACCCCCCACAAGCTTTACCTTAGTGTTTCCCCAGAGGAGCCCCTCCTCTTCCACAGGTTGACCAGGCTGCTCGATCTGCTGGCTGCGGAGGAAGACTTGCCGTCCCCGACATGCATGCGCACCACGGTAGAAGTGGTGAAGGCGCTGCGCACATTTCTCTCGGGTTTGGCCAGGATGATGTACACCTTCGGCACGAACATGCACCCGAGGGCCACTGTGGCGCTGAGGCTGACTGAGAAACACATAGTGATGATTTTGTAGTTGCTTCCGAAATAGATTGGGACAAAGGCCAGCCATATAATGCATGTGGTATACATCGTGAAGGCAATATATTTGGCTTCGTTGAAGTTAGCTGGAACATTTCTGGTCTTGAACGCATAGAAGGTGCAGCTCAAAATTAACAATCCATTGTATCCCAGAGGAGTGACGACTCCTAGATTGGTGGTGTTACAAATCAGGTAGACTTCCCGAATGCTTGGGTAGTCGTGCATTATATCAGGAGGCTCCATTATAAAAAGAGCGACAATAATGCCCAACTGGATACATATGAGGATGAAAGCAATCACTAACTGAGCACAGGCACTCATAAATCTGGGCTTTTTGGTACAGATCTTCTTTTTGCTGCCAGCCAGGATTCTTGCAATACGGTTGGTCTTGGTTACCAGGGCTGAGTAGCTCATGGCTGGGGAGAGACCAATACCAATTCTCTGAAGATAGCAATAAATCTGTTTGGGCTTTGCGATGAGGCAGAAGGTGCATAAGTAACCCAGGCAGATGCCAGCAAGAATAATGTAGCAGAGTTCCCTGCTGGAGGACTTGACTACTGGAGTGTCACGGTAAATGATGAAGATTACAGTGACAAACAGGGTGGCCAGCAGGCCAAGGCAAGCAAACACCACAGCTGCAATGGGCTCAGGGTCACCCCAGCGAAGATACTGTACTGGGATCAAATCACAACCTGCAGACACACAGACACATAATGAAAAAGAGGGAGAGAGATTAACTCAGCTCGCAGGTCCCTAAGTTACAAGCAGCTGCATATGGCCATTTTAGTTTGTCATCCATCCTTTCAATTTCTATGTTCCAAACTACTAATTCCTTCCTCTATCAGTTCAGAAAATCTATGCACTATTTGCCAAATACTCTGTGATAGAAACTGCTCTAAGTTCTGAAACAATAATAGTGTCACCTGCCCTCATAAAAATGATAGTATTTTAAATAATCACTTATGACTATAGTGAAGGTCAAGAAAACATACAGCATGGGTTCTGGCTCAGGCTGTGGAAACAATCAAAGCCTCTTATAATAGCAAGTAGCAAAGACTTGCTGGCTTGAATGAGCATGGGGTCAGGGGGACTGGTCAACAGAGGTTCACTCTAAGGAAAAGGGGAAAGATAGGAGGCTGTTGGACAGTAGTACACTAAGAGGCCCAGGACGAGGGTGGGTGGTAGGCAGGAGGGAGATCTCGCAGGTCAGAGATTGCTAAACTAACAGGAAGTTGTGGAGGTTGATGTGGAGGAATGACATGACTTGTATGGGTGCCATATGAAACATCAGTTTGGTTGCTGTGTGTGTGGGTTGAGATAAAAGCATACACAAAGTTGAGAATTATTTAAGAGACTTTTGGATATTTTAATGGATGTGGAAGTATGCAAAGTAATCAAAGATGATCAACATCAGCAAATAAAAGCTTAGATTTTTAGAGAATTTTATAGTTAGGTATTATAGAATGGAAGATACTATTTTTAAAAAGGATTATATTTTGGTGCACGCCTGTAATCCCAGAACTCAGGAGGCTGAGGCAGGAGTATCGCTGTGAGTTCAAGGCCAGTCTTAGCTACCAAGTGAATTTAAGGCCAGCCTGCACTGCATTGTGAAACCCTGTCTCAAAAGAAAAAAAATGGACTATTTTTTAAATAAGAAATCAGACCAAAAAGGCAGATAATCAGAAATCTTGGAAAATGCCTTCACATTTCAAATTATTCTCTGCTCATGGCATGCAATTTTTCATATCACTTGATTAACAGGATATAGTAATATTTCTTTACCTGTCTTACATTTAAATTCATTTTGTACAGTAGTTCTCAAACTTAGCTGTACACTAGAAATACATATATAATGCTAAGGTTTGGATCTTCCTGCTAGCACTTCTGATTTAACTGGAAAACATACAGCATGGGTTCTGGCTCAGGCATTGTCTGGGCATCACAGTTTTTAAAAGACACTCTAGGCAGGGCATATAGCTCAGCAGCGCAGCACCTGCCTGGCAAGCATGAGGTTCTGAGTGTGATTCCTGGTACCAAACAAAACAAAGCAAAGCAAAAAAAAGGAACACTCTAATCGGTTCTGATGTGCCCAGAAAAGTTGGGAATCATTTCTCTAGAAGGATTACTCTCATGTTAAAAAACTGAATTAAGATAGCTTGATTGAGTAAGAAATAAGGCCAATTATCCAACACATCGAACGCTTGAGAAGTATGGTAAAGATTGAAAATTGTCCAAAAATATTCAGTTTTACCTTAATCCTCAGCAACCAGTGTTTCATTTGCAAGGATAAAGGATGCCGCTAAAATTCTACATTTTCCAGCAACCATTGTAGTGAAATATAGTATATGAATAGATTTTAGCCAATAAGATGTAAACAGAAGATTCCTTAAAGGAAAATGATTCATCTTGGAGAATATCCTTTTCACCTTTCCTTCTTTTCTCTTTCTGCTGTGTGGCATATAATCTGATGTTTAAAGCTCCAGCAATTTTATTCGACTTTAAGTTAACTTTAAAGATAAAAAAAATCTCTGAGTTTGAAAGAGAAACATAGAGGACTCGAGTCCCTGATAACAATGAAACCACCATTTGGAAACCAGCTCTGCACAATATGTACTCACATCTCTTTCTCTAATCTACTTTATTTTCTTGTGTATAAAATCAAACAAAATCCTAATTGATATGGAGGTAGGATTTTCCTGTTACCTTGATTTGCCCCATGACCATGGGTGTCACAATAAATGACTGAGTAGCTATGTACTGAGCTGTTGGGCAGGAAATAATAAATAATGATGGAAAAGAAGCATGTGGTTCTTCCAAAATATGTAGAAGGACTCTGGCATTATGAAAATGAAATAAATTGAATGCTTTTTCTTCTTTCTGGAAACAAGTTTGCCTTAGCAGTCTCTGGCCTCCAGGGCTTGGGTTTCAGATGGTACTATTAGAATTGTCGCTCAGTTTATTCTGTGAATGAGGCCACAATCCTCAGCAAACTTTGGCAGATTATTTCTATAAAAGCTATATTCTTATTCTAAATAACTGTGCATTTAATATTGAAACAAAGTTATTTTAACTAAAAAAATTATGTATAGCCCAAGCTAAATATAAAATTTTTATGTATAATATCAATCATTACAAATGCAAGTCTCTGTCTAATGAACATACCTACATCCATATTTTCACTCTTCTGTTCATTAAAATATGCTGCTTATCATTTAAAATGCAATCACTGATGCTTCTGTGTACCTTAGAGTATGGGTTTATATTTACAAAGTTGCTTCTTGTATGAAGTATTTTACAAAAGGAAAAATTAATCATTTCTACCTTCATTTCTGCCAAACAATTTATAGCACTGATTTGACAATAAAATATATTATCTATTGTCATTAATTATATACAGGTCTGTTTCCACTGCTATATCATGAGGTATTAGCTTTCATAAAAAGTTGATGAAAAAAAGAATTTGCTGATATAAAAATCATGTCATGGGGCTGGGAGATATAGCTTAGTAGCACAAGTGCCTGCCTGGCAAATACACAAAAAGAATCATGTTATATGCTATATGAAGCAGGAATTTTTTGCTAACTTTTAAACCCTCAACTAAAGACATAAATATTTATTTGAAAAGCTTTTCTTTTGCTCTATTTTTCTTAATTATTTTTTCTTAAATGTAATTAGCACCCTGATTTCTACAAGCTTTGAACAGGATAACATTTACCACTATTTTGTATGTCAAATTCATCTTTGAAATTTTCATATGCAACCCATTAACATCATGTGTGAAGCTAAAGAAAACTAATTAGGTTCATGTTGAAGAAAGATGCATGAGGTATGCCTCTAATATGATGTGATTATATTCACAAATTTGACTGAATTTATACATTTGAATAATTTTTTCCCATTTAATGTGAATCACTCAGAAAGCTTTATGTTTAGTCTAATGATGCCACCATTGCTCAAGATACTCTTGTAGCTATGCTCTTGGAATTGCAAATTAGACTCCCGTTAGAGAGTTATAATTACTGAAACTTACAATTGAAGGACGTATTAGAGTTTCAAAAATAGATGTGCACCATGATCATTTGGAGAGCCCATAAAAATATTATTCAATGGTTTGAACTCTGAAGATTTTGACTAATTACTCTGTGGTGGGGCAAAGGAATCTCACTGTGAATTAGCAACTATACTGACTCTGTACAACTAGTCCTTGGTCTTTGGTTGGCGACTCAATCTTAATCAGGTTGACTTTTCATTTAGTATGTAAATGTCCTACGTGCTAACTCTCAAGAGATGATCATCAAAACTCTACAAAAGTCTTTCCAAGGGCTAGGATTGATGGGGGACTTTGGAGGAGATAGAGTGGAAAGGCAGGAGGTTAGAATGGCAGGTAGAGCCTGGACAGGAGGAAACTAGTAGGAGGTTGTCACAAGAGGCAGTCAGGCATGACAAGGGCAACAGTTTAGTCACTCATTGTACTAGAGAAAACAACTGTAAAGACAAGTCAGGAGCTGGACTGAGAGAATTAGACAGACAAGAGATTCAAGAGGAAAGGCTTCTGAGTTGATGGCAATACTACTGACCAGTATGAGAACTGTCAAAAGTAAAGCACCACATTTTACGGGAAGGATGTCTAGCTCCTGATTGTATGTGCTATGTTTTCAAACGCACATACAAACACAAGTCTCTCTCTAATGAACATACCTACATCCATATTTTCACTCTTCCTGTTCATTAAAATATGCTGCTTATCATTTAAAATGCAATCACAATTTTAGGAGCTATCTGTTTATGGATGGAAATGACAGGCATGGAAAGAAATAAATATGAGGAAATTCATAGATGTGGATGAATGCAGAGCTTGGTGTACTGTGGAACACCAGCATGAAGTGGCAGAAGAGAAAAATTGTTAAATTAGGTAAAGACGGATCAGCTGGAAGAAGGACGGGAGTCTATCATCAGTCTGTTTTTCTTTCCCTCTCTCCCTTCCTTCCTCCATTACTTCTTTCCTTCCTGTCCTTTTCCTGTCTTCCTTCCCTCTTTTCTTCCTTCCTTCATTTTCCTGCCCCCTCCTTCTCTTCCTCTTCTCCACCTCCCTCTTCTTTCCTATTCTTTCATCACCCCAATACGTTACACAAAGCATCACCCTTCAGGTTCACAGGTCTCTCTCCTTGTAGTGTACTATTGCCTGTTTTATTTGCTCCACTGCTGTAGCATCTATTTTTTGAATGAGGAATAGTGTCCTTCCTAACATGGATCATGTTGTATGAAATTTCACAATCTTCAGGTAATATTAATCTTGTTATGATACAAATTCAAAATTCCTGTGATGGGGCTGGGGATTTAGTTCAGCGGCACAGCGCCTGCCCAGCAAGTGTGAGGTCATGAGTTAGATCCCCAGTACCGGAAAAAAAAAAAAAATCCCTGCAATTAATACCCCTAATATGAGTAGCAGTCTACAAATATCAGAATACCTAGTTATTCTTGCTAAATTTCTTCTTTATTCTCTTCTAATTATTAGATATTTTTCATTAAGGATTTTCTTTTTTTATCCTTATTTCATTCTCCGTGTGTTATGGTTTGTGTCTAGATGTCCCCCAAAGCCTCATGCAGTCATGGTGAGAGTTTCTAGAGTTTGACTACGTCATGGTCCAATGCTGGAATTATAGGTGTGAGTGCTACAACAGCCCTGGGGCTG